TGTCATTGACATTAGTGTCATGAGATTGGATAATGATGTAATTGATTATCTTGGTTAACCATCTGTTGAATGCTATTGCTTTATTCAATGCTTATATTTGGTTTAGTATTTTTCTACTGGGCTGTGGCTCACCCTTTATGGTAACATCATTTTCAGGTTCAGGTGATAAACTACCTCCAAGGACTTAGCTTGGGAGGGTTTGGCTTCTGGATTGAAGAAGACTACTTTTAGTTAACTGTCTTAAATTATTAGTACATGTAGACATTCAAGCCTAGGGCTTTTCTTATATTGAGTTAGAACTCATATTTTTTGTAGTGTTGGCTTGGAAAGATGTAAGCCGTTAGGGCATTTAATTTGATGTTACATGTAATGTTTTTGTTTAGTAAGACTCTGATGGATATTATAATGAATTATTGAAGTGTTTTCTTTAAATAATGCATGTCATTGATATATATAATGGGTTAATTTTTGAGGGCGTTACAACTTGGTATCAGAGCGTACCGGGTTTGAATACTTTGGGTACGTGGGAAGTGATTAGTATCACAATGGGTTCGTCTCGTTTGATAGAGACTTAGTGTAAGGTTATATGTTTATGTGATTATGTGGGTATGGAATGTAGTTTCTAGGATGTTTATTGGACCCTTGAGTTTCTAGTAGTCTTGTTGGAAAGGCACTTGATCACTGCTGCTTCCAACTGGAACTATAGTAACGCATTGGGACTATCATTATCTGGGAATGAAATTCGTAGGTGCTTATGTGATTATGTGCTTACGTGGAATGAATTATTGTTGTCCATTGCATTAGGACGCGAGTGTTTAGCTTCGGCACATTTATTAATGTGCTAATGTCTTTGTTTCCTTTATTAGGATGTCAGGACGAGGACGAGGACGCGGTAGGCGTGGTAGGCCGGGTAGGCAGGAGGTGCCTGTGCCAGAGGAGATTCCGGTAGTTCAGGAAGGAATTGGCCAGGCCAATGTGGCCGAGCCAGTAGGCCAGCAGGCTATGGGCGCTCTAGCCCGAGAGATAGCAGGGGCATTCAGGGAGTCAGTAGGTATAGCGATCTCGGGTTTACCCTTGTGGTATAGTGATCCGGACATGTGTCCGTCGATGTTGGAAGGTGTTTATTATCTTGTTTGCATCCTCTTTACTTTGTTATTGAGTTATAGGATGTGTTGGGCAGGTTTGTTTCAGGTTGGTTGTGTTTGGGAGCCTAGTGTTGCTGCCCAGATTTTGGATCTTCGCTCGAGCGAGGAGTTGGTCGCTCGAGCGAGAGTGAGGTTCGTGTTTGGTGGGTCGAGCCAGGGTGGCTTCGCTCGAGCGAGTG